GGGATGCCACAAAGGTGCGTATTATACGCCCGTATATCTCCGACGTATCCTCGGCCGGTGTGCATCTGGCAGGTGCACGCGTCGCGGCGCGATAGCAGCATTCGGCGACGCGGTGTATCTGGCCGTGACACTCAACCTTCCACGGCGGAGACCGCTTCTTACGCAATGCCCGTCAATTAAACTGACTTACGTAAGGATCCGACATAACTTAAGCAAATGAACGTATGACAAATGAATATGCGCCGTCGAACAGATGAAACGTGAGGAAGGAGTGACTGCGACCGAGATTTGCGAGGAGGCGATTCACGATTCGTCCCACTCTCGCGAGAGCGAAGACATCCTTCCTTAAAGAGAGATGAATGAATACTCGATTATAAGAAAATTCTGCGGTGATACACGCCGGAGAAATAACGATGAAACGTATCTGCGTGTATAGGTATAGTCTGGTAGAAGACTCGTATTACTAGACAATTAAAATTGGAGCGTGGTCGAGAAATCGATGCACGATGGTACCGCCGGCTCCGCTATAAAATGCACCGCTCTCGTAAGCCGAACCATATTTCCCTGCCGTAATCAGTGCGTGTACCATTAAATGTTATACGATAATGTGGTGTTGAAACAATATAAATGCGGCGTCTTAATAATAAAAATGCGGCGGGTAACGCAGAAGCAACACGTAACCGCGCATGTAACTTGTCGATTTCGACGAGTTCTGAAACACTTATCTTAATTTGGAATTGATGCTTAGAAACGGGAGTAGTACTCTCATCGCAATTGCAAATTAAATCACTTTCTTCGATTTATTAGCATCTATTTCCCGAATTACATGTATTTCTCTGTAATAGATTATATCCTTTTAAATTAGTCTGAAGTTCAGAAGCTTCAATAAAAACATTACGCGTCCTGCGTGAGAGTGGAAGTTCTCTGGGCACAAAGGAAGAAAGCGTATCAGCATAACTTTTCAGGGGAAGGGATATATTAAACATCATTACCTGCTATCTGGAATAAATTTGATTACATATCGGGCTTTTGCAAAATCAGTTGTGAAACTTAAATGCAAACGTTGGAAAGTCTTCGGAAGCGTCTGCTTCCCGGAGAAGAGGGAGCACGTTCGCGATGTAACGTAACGTTAAAACCTCCCGGGAAAAGGAACACGCCCGACATCGTAGTTGCGTGGAAGTTGAAAGTGGATCGATATTTTTTTATCAATCGTACTTTCACGAATTGGTTTTAGCTCTTCGGGGAGAACATCGGGCGGGCTCCGTATAGGAGCAGAGCACGTCGCCAGAGAGATCGAGACGCAAGTCGAGATCCTGCACATGTAAAGGAAAATAAACGCGAGGGACGGTGTGGCATTAGAGCTTCCCCAGAGAAGAGGGAGGAGGTGGTGGAGGAGAACATCTGCTTCATCGTCGGGCTGCCTGCGACTCGCGTGCCACAAACGGGCGCGTGCTATCCGGAGCCTCCCCGACACGGCTTCGCAGAAGCGGCACGGGACCCGGCCGCCTGCCTGCCGTGCCGATGCGCGTCCCGGCACGCACCTGGCTCGATGTTTTTTCTTTGGGGAAGATACCACGGGCGGCCAAATGCGCGGCTGGCTTCTTTCCTGCCCCCCTTTCTTTTCAAGAGGTGCTTCTCAGCGGTCTACATAAGTACTTAGTCCTTATTTGATCCACCGAAAAGATTGCTTAAGAAAGTATTAGATTATTTAAGAAAAATTCATGTATATATTTTTTCCCTATATCTCTTTTATGTAAAATGAGAAAAAAAAAGGAAAGCAAAGAGAGACTTTTCAGTCGATTTGATTTTATTATACAAATATGTCAAGGAACGAATAGGCAAGTCAAATTATATTTAATCGCAAATGTTAACACGATAAAATATCTTAATAAAACGTGCTTTTGGACGAAATATTCTGCAAGCATTCAATGACATTACGAAAATGCGATAGGACTGGGTGAGAATCACTTTCCAGATACAAATCCCAAATTAAATGGAGATAAAATTATCCTTTGTAAGTACGTTTAGAGTCATATTTTATTCATGTTTCCTATATTTGTAACGTAATATTGCGTGACATTTTATTTTAAATTTTTGATAATCGCGCAAATGATTATTGTAGTGTTACAGCGTTATATTATATTTAACTCGTTAAATCTATAAATGCAGTTGCACGAGACAATGTCGCAGTATCCCTATAAATGCAGTTGCGTAAGAGAATGTCGCAGTATCCCCGGATCGCGCATGAATACGTAAATTAAGGATTATCGGTGCATTTGACGGTGACGATAACGATATACGACGCATTTACAATTTAGTCGAGTTTCACCAAGTTGAAAGCAATAGACGCGTAGCATCTCGTTAACTTCTTTTAACATGTAACTTGATATATCCTCGAAGTACATGCAAACGTCCTTTGTTTCTGATGAAGAGAGAATTGAATTACCGTGTAGTTGATAGCTTACGTTCATTATCATTGGCCTAAATGCGCACAATATAAGCCATTTGCATATTGCCAATTCCCCGGATGGCGGATGACACATTCGCCATATCACATTCGCTTTACGAATTAACCGCGCTAATTGCACGATGCGTATGTGTATATGTATATTTCGCTTTTTTTTTTACATATATATGTATATATACATATGTATGTAAAGAGAAATGCGAAAATGCGTGCATGAAATGAAAATGTTTTGTCATGAATTATTCAATCACAGAGCTTTGGACGTAAGTGACGACAGTTTGATAAAAGCGTCGGCTCTCTCGCGATCAATTACGATGTGGAAATCAGCTGACAAGCTCATTTCCACGAAGACTCTCGACGAGAGGCGCGTTTAAGGACGTCTTTGCTCTACTTATGCGACGCCTCGGCAGATGCAGATGCATAGAGGATTTGCGCAAGTGTCCATCGCTCCTGTCAATTACGCCTAACGTCGCTTATTCACGGCACGCAGTTACGGCACATTTTATCAGAGTGATACTAATAAACTCCGCAACGTGCGACGCGCAAACTCACGCAAAAATCGCTTCGAGAAGAATCTTAATCCCATTCGTACGACTTGACAGGCATCAAGATATAAGCAAAACATTTTCTTGATAGATAGGTATTTTCCGATATTACGGTACTTTGCACGGGAGAGATGTATGCTTTGCAGAAATGATTTTCAGGACATAAATAAAAAGGTAGGAATAAGAAATAAATATAAGAAGTATATAAACATGAAAAATAAGAATATGTACATAAATGAAAAGAAAAAGCAGATTTCAGAAAAATCAACTACACTCCATCGCCTTCTGTTCGGGACCGTAAATAAAAATTTAAACGTATACGATACGTTATTAGCGGCGATATTTGCTGCGATTTTCGGCACGTAACACCAAGAGGATTAAGTCGTGGTAAGGTAAGTGTGCTATGAGGTGCACCGTACGGAGAAAAAGTCTGTGTACACGATGTCTCGAATTCATTACAGAAATTATTAAAGCGTACTCCATTATTGCAACCGCTGCTCGCGCGCCGCCGTGGACTAATTATCATCGAGCAATTAACAACCGTTGATTGCCATTACCGGCGTAGGTGCGCGAGCGCGCACGCTTGCGCGAGCATCGGGCGATCCTACCTTCTACCTGAAATAATTTTGCTCTCTACCAGCAGCAGCCGCGTGAGCGTATGCGTGATGCTATTCGTGTGCGTGTGCCTGCGATGTAGTCCCGTCCGTGTGTTAGAGAGGAAGAGGCGAGGAGAGATGATGCCGCTTTAGAGAGATTACGTTTCCTCCACTATGATAATTACATTCGTGCGAATCTCGTCGAGATAGCGCCGGTAGGATGTTAGCCTCGCTGATGTAGTTTCCTTTTCTTCGATAGAATTTGTCTATTTCCTTCCGTTTACATACATATTCGCACGCGTTTCTATAGTACAGATTCACGATACGCTTAATGAATTAGAGAAATTTGCAGATTTCGTAAAGTATAGAGAAGTTAACAAAAGCATCTCTTAAAAGTCGTAATAGTAGACATAATTGAGGAGCTATTTTTGAAGCGTCTTACACCCATATTAAAAAAAAAATGAAAATAACGCATGCTAAAGCTTCTAGAGTTACATTTTAAAAAAATATCGGTTTAAGACGATTCGTAAAGATTAGTTTTCCGATTACACTTTTACGAGTAGCGTTTTGTAACGTATAGAAATAAAAGTTCCTATGGAATGTGTATTCGATTCCATCGTTCGATTATAAGTGATAAGCGTCATCCATCGAATTCAAACAGGTCGTTAGTGATTTTGGGTAAAATAGAAATAATAAATAGGTACCGATTGATGAACGACGTCGGCGTGGAGTAACCCAACTGAAGACGCGATCTGACGACCTTCTCCTGAACGGTCACCATCCTCGAGCTTCGCGAACTTTGGTGCACTCTGGTGGTACGTATCACTTGATAGCACTGGTGCTGAGTCTGGGGTGAGCAGACCGTCACCCTGTCACTGCGTGGCTCGATCATCGTGTACGTGATCATCACTGTCCGTCACGTGTAAGTGTTCACCGTTCCGGGATGCGAGTCCCGCTTCGATTCGAGCCCATCGTCGCGTTCTTCGCGCACACAGCGTCACGTTTTAATTCAATTAGTAAATAATATTCGCGGGAATTACCACAGTATTCTTTGGTTAACTGGCAGAAGGAATCACGTTAGAGAAGATACGCCTCGGTATCCAACGGACCTAAATCCGATTAAAGCAGAAACCCGTTATATCTCGGTCGGTTGTGGCACAAATTAAGGAAAAGATTTTCAGCGTTAACGTAATATCCTGTGTGCTGCGTTTACTCGAAGTTATTTATATCCTATATATATTACGGACGTAAAATAAAATCGGAGAGAATTGTGATCTTAAATGGCAGATAATTGCTGATGAGTTAAAATCTTTTATTCAGCTGTTTATTCAATTACGTCGTCATAATTGTCATGGAAATTTAGGTCAGTAAGTTAATAATTTATCAAAGCACATCTCTCTCGGATTGCTCCTTTTTAATAAGTAATAATTTTTGTAATCTAAATTTGGTTCTCGAGCACGGAGATACCACCTGAATTTCATTTGGATTTAACTTCAACGTTTGACACTAAGTAATTGGGTTAACTATTACTGAGCTACTCTCGGCGGCGATCAATAGTGTCGTTTTCACTCGTCCGCCTTTTCCGGTTGATTCACGGACAATCGTTAAAACTTTCTAACGATATTTGATTAATATGCGTAACAGTAAGTGTATCACGGTATACGATATCTACGTGCGATGTATTTATCAATAATCTCTCTTTAATGAAAGTATGTTTATTATATGTGTATTTACGCGTGAAGATCCTCAATTACGTACAAAAATAAATATGAAAAATATATATGTATATAATTACATATATATTTTCTCGATTTAATCGCGCAGAGAGTACCTTTTCTTAATGCACGGCTGAATAACCAACAGGGATGAAATCAAGTTACCTCAATAAAAATTAAATCTCGTTCTCAGCGGTCGAAATGTCTTTAATAAATTTTAAAAAATTACGAATTTTTCCGATTAAGTTTTATTTAGATTTTTATGAATTTTTATTTTATTTTGTAATGTATATTATATATAAATGCAAAAATAAAAATTTGAAAATGCAATGACGTTCCTATTGTCGCGCTTAACATTCTCACAACAACGGAATTTATGAACAATCGCACGATCGATTGTCATGAATAATATAATAACACTTATTGTTTCGCGCGAACGTCGAAAGCCGGATTCAGCAAAATGAGGTTTGCGGAATCGAGATAAACTGAAATTTCCGCGGTATTAATGCGTAATTAATTTATGATCGATGCAAAATGCGACGTGCCCGACGGGTACCGTTTGTTGTTCGTCTTCGGCCTGGCTCGTATCGGGGACGCACGTACGAAAAAGTCAAAGACGGCGAATAATAATGAGCACAGAAATCCTTCGTGCAAACGAGACCGCACGTGAAACGTCTTTAACGGCGGTGACATACAGCGAAACAAGTCGCCTTTACAACGCGACTCTCCGAAACTCCGTGCGGTGCATACTCGTCGCGCAGCTCGTTAACGCGATCCACTTTGCTCTCTTTTGTGCAGCGGAAAACTTGTCTCGACCTCTCCCCCTGAGGTTGGCCCAGTAGACAACCGCGACGAAATTGATCAAATTAATCCAACCGACGACAATGGCGGAACCTCCACCGGATGTCGCTCGTCGAATTGATCCAAGAAGGAGCAGGAGGGGCCCGTTGAATATATTGCGCCCAATCGAATCAATTCGGGATTTCCATTCACACACACGAGATTCGACGCCACGAGGAATGTGCACTTTTCGCGTTTATCGCGATTCAATTTCACAGTTACGACACCAGACTGCAGGAGGAGGAGGAAACGAGCAACGGAGCGGCGCCACGGTTTTCCACGTCGAGCGATCGCCCCGGCGCGAAACGAGAAAAAAAAGGGACAATAAAAATACCTTGACGGACCGGCGAGCACGTTGATTCACAATCGTCAACTACACCCGTTCTGTTTGCCGTTAGCTTCGATACCATAATGGAACTGTCAAAGTCGAATGAAAGGTGGGGCGGCGGCCTCCCACCGGCGGCGCGGCGATTTCAACGGCCCCGCCGCGCATATACATTGTTATACGCTCGTCTCGATGCTGCTACCGCTCGGAAATACAGGTCAATTCACTCTGACCGTGCGCAATCGTCTCGCGTGTGTGTATATATATATATATGTATGTATTTCTGAATCTACGTTAAAAAGAGGAGAGTTACGCCGAGACGGGACCGCGGGATGAGAGGTCGTTGCACCCACGAGGGGGAGATCCACTTTAACGCGTGGCGGGAAGGAAGCCCGATCGATTTATGGTGTACAAACGATTTCCAATCGCGATCTCAATTGCGCTCGCGCCGATTGATCCGAGTTAATCCTTCGTACCTGTATATTTCCGCGGGACAGAACTTTCGATTTGTGTTAAGAACCGAAGCGCGCGGCGATAAAAGCAATTCGAGAGATGCGGTGGAATACGCTTTCTGAAAAAAAAAACTTTCGAAAGAAATTAAAACGTCTCGCGGGGACATCCGTTGCACTTTCGTATTGTCTAATTACTGACAAATTAATCAGAAAGAAATACAACAAAAGCCAGAAATATCGTGCAGAAAAAAACAAAAACGCGAAATACGGTCGCGTCCGCGCGTTTTAATTGAACGCTTGTATCCCTCTTTACGTATTGACGATAGATTTATCCCTGTTTGAATGGTACGCGCGCTTGAATCGTATCGCCGCACACAGCTGAACTGTAAATAGAAAAATAATAGCGCACAACAGGTATATCCGCGTACTAGCGGCTGTGTACTTTCACGTATGTTAATGTCGACGTGATAGGGATTTCGCGTCAATACGGCGACAGTTTCAACGGGCGCGCGTGTTCCAGTTTTAATTTCGCATCGCCTGTGTGCGGGCTGTTGTTTTTTTTCCTCCTCCGGTCTGTTGAAGAGCACGCAAGCGTAATGTAGCGCTTCGAGCAACATCGAGATGGTAATATCCGCGGTTGCGTACCCGCCCGAGTATACTTTTTTCAAGGGTGGTCCGTCAAGCGAGATTTTGTGCAGTTAAAATCTAGATCCGACTCTACATTTTCGGTTTTCCATCCACTCAGCAATCTAGTTCAAAAAATATGATTAATCGCAATGTCGAAATGCCATCATACTCTAGAAAGGATAAATACATGACAGCATCTTTCGCGGATACATGTTTTTGACGCGACATGCTATATATTTCTCGATCTCGCGAGATTAAAAAATTCGTTCCGACTTTTACGTCACGATTGCAATAACTCTTCAACAACACATTTAATTTCTCACGTAGAAACGATTAAAGTCGTAAGGATGATTAAAGTATTTTCACTTCACACGGCCGCAATATTCACGAGTGGCGTTCGAAAACGCCTCAACGGAATTACCTCCGACAAAACCGAGCGCCGCGGATAAAACGGATTCGATTTTCTCTAACAATTTTCCCTGACACTCTTTAACTCTCGCGCACAATTTGCCGGATATATCTTTTGCACGTGCGAATGCGCGAAGAGCAAACATCGAATTCACACGCGGATACGACTTCATCTTTTCCTCGCGAATCGGACACTAGTCTCGCGGCGGCGCGCGGTGCGGCGCGGCGTCATGCGCGAACGGCCTATACGTATATACGAGAGCGCGGACACGTTCCGAGATCCTCAATTTGCCTGTGGCAAAAGTAAAAGTTAGCGATCGGGAGAAAGCTCCGGTCGAGCGTACGCTCCGCGGAACGGAGAGCTAGACGCGGGCGACCGGTGGTGGGACCGGTCTAGGCGCACAAATTGCAAGTGGCAAAGGTTACGAATGATTTTCTGCGGAAAGCAGAACCCTCCCGCGAGCGAGTCCGCCGGGGAAGGAAGAATCGAGAGTAAGCGTGCGAAAGCAACCCGGTACGATGAACGAAAGAGGACTCTTCTTCCTTTTTTTCCCCCCCCTTTTCGCTTGTATACCAAGTTCCAAAAGTGGCACTTCGTCGACAGAGAATGAGTTAGGCATCGGTCCCCGCGAGCATTTTTCACAATTTGAACAGTTGTAACGAGAGAGCCCTAGTAACGGCGTACAAGTTCGCTTCGGCGAAACGTCACACTCTAATAATAAGTTCACGTCGGCATACTATCGGGTACACGCGTTAGGATAATAAGTTGCGCGCACGCGAGTCAAGAAAGCCGCGCAATTCTTTTTGCACATTCCTTTATTATCCGCTTTTCTCGTTCCCTAATGACACGGTGAGGCTATTCCCCCGACCGACGTGTAATGAAGAATAGCGGGAGCGTACCGATACAACCGCGCCGCGTGGAAGCCGCGAGCGGATTTCTTCTAACTGGCACGTGTAGTGTGAGATTTGTTCAGTATTAGCGAACAAAAGTGTTATGGTGTACGGTGAAATACAAATAATCCCGCGCATCCTCTCTCGCGTCGAAATTACGTGTTTTAAATACATTAACCTCGAATTCAAATCACGCCGAGATATTATCACAGGAAAATTACGCATAAGGAATCCTTTCAACATTAGATAAAAAACTGGTGATTCTCGTCTCAAAATCTTTAACTTTTTGAATTCTATTAAATTTTTAATAGAACCATAACAGCGTTGCTATGCAAACTATTTTTATTCTACTGACCAAAGTATTTTTATCTTCCTAAATTGAATGAAAACTTTTTTTACAGCGCGTGTCAATCAACGAGAGAGAGAGAGAGAGAGAGAGAGAGAGAGAGAATTTCTCTCTCGAAACGCACTCGCCGGAAAAGGTTTTCCCCATGTCCCTTCGCACGCGAGAACGTGATGTAGTTCGACCAATTTTATTTTCGCATACCTACACACGTGCGCGCGCGTGCGAATTCTCGGTTGACTAAACGCGGGCGAAAATGTCCGGTTCTGGATAACGGTCCGTAAAATGTAACGTGTAGGAAATGCACGGTCGCGCGGTTTTCATTTGGTATCGTCGGAAGGATAAATTTATCTTCGAAATCCGGAGAAAACGTGTGGATCGGATACCCTTCCCTCGGGGAAATGTGCCAAGACGTTCGAGTGAATAATAAAACGGGTAGTGAACGGGCTATCGATTTCTGGAAAGACTTTTCCTCGCGGTTGAGGAGCGCCGAAGATGGTGCTTTGAATTACGAGAAAAGTATCTCCCCGCTTTCAGATTCGCCGAACATTTTGCCACGCAATTTAACGATGTATAAGCTGTCAAAATGCATGTCTAATTTAATTAACACAATTAACTAGCTTGCAGAAATTAATTTCAAAATATGTTCGTTATAATAATTGTATTATGTATTGTTTTCAGAGTGTATTTAACAATATTTAATTTTTTAATTATTCTGGTGTATATAGGTATGATCTTCGTTCGTTTTAGCTGCGTTTTACTTTCCCTATGTAGAATAAAAACAAGGATGTATATTTAGATTTCCGCGAAGACTTACTCACAACAGTAAAAACGAGAAGCAAGAGATGGGAAAAAACCCGAGTAGAGCCGAAAATTAAGTGCGAGATTCCGTGTGGAATAAGGCGAGTTATATACAATACATCTGCACGCTTCCTCCGCTGTCGTATGGAAGTCTCTTGCATTTTTCAAGCACAGTTAGCGAACTCGCTTGCGTAGGACGGCGTGGCCGAAAGCGCGCCAGGCTCGATTATCCCGATATCATTGTATCCCGCGAGTTTTGTTCTCACGCGAAAAAGGAAGAGAGGGGAGGAGGGGTACGGAGCGGCCGGGAAATGGCGTCACTCGCGCTCCCACACACGCGGCAATTCCGCATGCTCGTGTGCACTCTCTTGAGCGACTAGATATCAAGCGAATGGTATTAACGGTACCGGCAATACTATTCGCACTACGTGCCTGGTGCCCCACGTGCTCGATGCGTGTGCACAAGAGATGCTGTTAACATAGTTATCGCGCTCGTACGTCGCCCCAGCGAGTTCCTTTCCCGATGATGTACATGCCCGCGATGTCGAACGTATCTTCGGAGCTTCGAGAAGTCGATATCATTCCCGCGTGTATATCTCGGCGACGCACGCGAGATATACTGCCGATCGGACAGTCGCTTACACGACGACGTCAGAGAACGAAGGAAGGTCAGCTACTCGTCACAGATGCATAATTCCCCGATTAACGATCACCGAAGGGAGACTTCGGCGCGACCGTAGAGTATTTTTATCAGCGCGGTCGGACAGACAGAATCTCTCAATAAAGGGGCGCAAAGGCTAATACAAAACGATAAATAACAGTACAAAAAATTTAAGCAAATTTAATTTTTGCAAGATTTAATGACATTATTCTCCTATTTACAATCACCATTAAGGTCTCATTATATTATTTAATACACTGCAGATATTCGTGTATCCGATGAAACGACCGTGTTCACCACTACAAATCAGTCGATTTGTAACTTTCGACAATCACGTACCGATTCTCTTATTTTCTCTATACAATCATTTTATTAGAATAAGAAAAACTAGTACAATTTCTTCAAGAAATAAGAAATACTAAGAAATATAACATTATATTCGTATAATAAAAAAATTAATCGATTCATCGAGCAAATCTTGAGAAAGATTTAAATTACCGAATTTTATTCCGCGAGTTATATATAAGTCTGAATTATACGTTTCTTCTCGTTGTTGCGTGGCAGACACGTGAAAAGTCCTATTTACGCGCCATTTGTTAATTTCACGTCAAGATATTCCATTGCCAAGCTGAATGGTATCTATTTTTGTATTATTTCTCCTACGCATTGTTACTATTCAATAATAAAACGCGCGGACACTTTTCCATTAACGCGCAACAGCGTCAGCGTCTGACGGCGCCGCGCATGCATGTCGATGCACTCGCGATTGATTTAAACGGACAACCGCCGAGGAACGTCACGTATATGCACGCGCGTCGCACACTCGCGCAGCACGCACCCAAATGGGTTACTGCCCAAATTGCTTTCAATGCCGAAACGGAGCGTGCGACGTCGGCGACAGGCGCCGTTTCGTGACGCACACGGCGTGAATTTAATACGTATCATTATCGTAGCGTTATATTGACGGCCTGTATAATATATACGACACGGTCGCGACAGTGGCTTTTGTCGATAGCTTCCCGTTTTTACTGACGCTTTCATCTCACCCGCCGCGCGTCCGCGAATTTGCAATACCTTTATAGAACCCGGAACTGCCGAGAGTAGCTCGCATTTTTCAAGAACAGAAAACCCGGAGAACGTGAAATATTTTATTCAAATCGTCAGCGTCTGGTTCAACTTGATGAAGAAATATGTTAAAGTAGCCATTCAATAATAATTCGTAAATACATATTTATAACGACTAGACAGGCAAATTCCTGCGAAATCGTTGCTTCAGTGTTTTCACTCTTTTACCCCGTATTTTATTTATCTATCAAGAAAACGACTTTCCCTATTAGCCATCATTTTTTATAGATTGTTATGCGATATTTGTGGCTCATTATTATTCTCTATTTAATCAACAGAATTTGAAATCTTTAACATATTTAACATATTTAATTATCTGAAATTCTCAACATACGTATTTCAAGTGAAACTCCTGAAATATTTTATTTTCTCTCCATTTAAAATTCTTGCAGTTTTAATTTAAGATACACATTTAATGTACTTTTATACAAAAAATATTTTAAATTATAAATTTAAGAATTCCTGTTTAATAGGTATTCGTGACGCATTATTATACAATCTTTTCTTGTTTTCCTGTTTAGTATTATTATACAATTTTAATTATTTTCGTTATTTTCAGAGCTCATTATTAAAACTTCATTAAAAATCTTCGAAACCTAAATAAAAACAATTTTTTTAAATATATCTGTATTATTGAAAAGATATTAACTTTAGCATTTAAAAAACTTAATTTAAAAAATAAACACTTTCTTAATGTAGATATTAAAAATCTGTTTTATATTTATAATACAGAAATTAAAAATCTGTTTTATATTTAGATGTGATGAAAATTCTAAATAAAGATTAAAAAAACAATGAGCTAAGAATAATGAAAAAAAAATTCTTTTAAAGTATACATATTCTCTTTTGTTCGTTTCCTTAGATCATTTTGATTTTTATCATTATACATGATTTATATCTCGTTATTCTTTAAATAACAGAGATTATTTTAAACAGACATAAAATTTTTTTTCCCGTTTATACTGTTCTCACGGCCTTAGCATTCTTATCTAGTGTTCTTAATCGGCGTTTTAAACGAAACTCTTTCCTCTTTTTCATCGTCGCGTAGTGACAGCGTGCGATTTTCAGAATGCAGTCGAGTGTAAATACCGTCGTGAAAGCCGTGGCGAGCCGTAGCGACCGACTGAGTGAGAGACAAGTAACTCGCGCTGCCTGCAATGCCTCCCCACCGTTACGATTTTCCGTGTGTATAACGCGAGGTAGAGAGCAAAGCGTCTTAATAGACGCTTCGATCCTTTTGATCTCTCTGTCGTCGTTGATTCAGTGACCTTCTTTAAACACCGAGGATCACGGTCAGTCGCGATGGTGCCGCGACTTTCGCGGCAGAAGACACTCTTGCCGCGCCGCGCGCGCGGAGCCGATTTCTTTTTTTTTCCTCCTTCGTCGTTATTGTACCCGATTGTGCAACTCGGCAACAACACCTTGCCGCGTAAGAGCCAATCGCGCAGGTAAACGACGCACCGCGGCGCACCGTCAATTTTACCGCGTGATGATTCAGCGCGCTTTTTAAGGCGCACCGATACGGTAACTGCCGATAAGGCGCACACGTCTTTCGTTTATTCCACTGACATCATATCCCGTAAGCAAGTTCCGCCTGGTTAGTCGTAAAGATTGCGACGGGAGGCACATCGTGGCGGCCGTTCGGAAAAATCGCGAAGTGATTCGCCCGCGATTATGTTATTCCGCCACGTCGCTGCGAATCGCGGCACGCGTTTATCGTATCACGCGCAAAGTCCGCGCGAAAAATCCGCGCGTTTTCGCGCACTGTCGCGCTCACCGCACTCTCGTGACATCGTTGACGTTAACGTTAACGCGGGGGCGTTATCGCGCGCGGCGCGTTATCCGCGAGTCGCTTACACTTGTCGCGTCACTCGCGTCCGCCTTCCGAGATATCGCGGCCGATTTGACAGATTACGTAGGACATGTAGAATCCTCTCGTCCCGCGATCCGCGGCGAACGAGCGGCATTCGGAGAGAAACGGTGAAACGTTCACGAGAGGCCGTAAGGCACGCGCGCGCCCGCTCGCTCGCTCGCTCGCCTCGCTCTATCGCGATCCTTCGCGGTTTCAGCTTGACTGAGCCAGCCAGCCAGTCGGCGGCGGGTTGGATGTTCACGTCGAAACCGTCGAGTGGTGATACCCCACCTCGCGCTCCGGCCTCCGCCGCCGCCGATAGACGCAACGTGACGTGACGACGATGACGGATCCGTTCCTGGTGGACGACTAGAACTCACGACGATGTGCCGTTTACGAGCACAGACATGGTCTGTTTGACCACAAAATGGGTCCGCTAATCGATGATATTTCTGCACATTAAAATCTGGCGACGAACGGTACGACCTTCGGCCTGAAAATAGGATCCTCGGAGGCGGTACACCGGGATTAGATCGCGGAATCCGGAATATTTAGCAATTTAATCTATACTGACAGTCTCCTCCTCTTCTCACAAAAATAATTATAGCTTTGAGATATATTTTTCGCATTAACTGGACCGTTGCCTCGGGTTCAGTTTTATTTGGATTGATATCGCAAATCGAATTATATAGCTCTCGATTTTATTCCTGCTTATTTTATCACGCGATCCGATATTTCGACTTGCAAAACACAGCGACGTTTTCTCATTAGCTTTCTCGTCGAGAGATGGTCAACTGGAGAAACTTTCACTCATTGTTACTAACGTTACGCTTCGATTCGCGATCACATTTCAATGCTATTCACAATTGCGATTCGACTATTTGCGACTCATCGATTGGTTCCATCTACAACGTGCGAGTAGCGAGAGAAGTACTTTTATCGTAGTTCAAAGAGCAGGGAAGGAAATCCTTTAACTGTGCAACGAATAAAAATGCCTTCCGATGCAGACAACGGAAATTGTAAGTTATCTCGCGACCGGAATTCGCTACTTTGCCTGCCCGATCCAGACAGATATCGCAGTTTCGTTGCAACACTCGCGCAACGTCGTTCGTTCGTTCTCCCATAATTGTTTCGACGTCAGATACCGCAGAGATGTTATATCGGACAAAAATCCCGATAACGCGACTTCTCACTTCGTGTACCTTACCGCAGAATTTTCGTTCGTTAAAGAATGCTGGGACGTAAAATATTTTTCGGTTAGCGGTTTTCGCGGCGCAACGTAATAACGTGACGGTATTTTACGCGAAAGTAATATAAAACCAACAGATATTTATCGGCTCTTCGTAATAAATATTTGTGTAAATATTTATACTGTAAACATAGAAAGTTTATATTATAAAAAAAAATTAATTTCGTTTTATAATTTATCGCATATGTATAAATCATTCGCGCGAAACGAGAAAATATCGACGCTTGATATTATTAGTGATTTTACCTATCACTGCGAGAATTTTTATGATCATTAATAGTTATCTAACACGATAAGAATTTTATAACGATATAAGATAAGCATTATTTCGCGATTATCGCTATTATCAGCTATTTTTATATACATTTTATTCATCGTTTTTCATAACTATTGAATCTAATAAGGATCTAATATAACACAAGAATATAAGATTTTCAACATGATACAATATTAATATTTCTTGTGATATGACGATAATGTGACTACAAGGATCAGTGACGCAATAAAATTTAATGAAATTTCGCTTGAATATAATTGTCAACCGAACTCCCTTTCCTGCGATTCAAACGGTACAACATTCATCATTTCCTCATCGTTGTATCATAAACAGTTCGCGCCGACGCACGTTGCCCATGTTAAAATATTAAGAGACGTTTTGGTAAGTGCGAATGGTTTATGTCACGTTCCGAGATATATTCGTGAGACATGCGTGCGCGATTTCTCGCACAGAACGTCCGCTTTTCACGTTCGCGAAGTAGAAGAATGTAAAAAGTTCAAAAATTTGCGAAGAGACTCAGATAAAAAAAGTCAGGGAGGCTGTAGTCAGGAAATTTGTAAAACAGATTAAATAAAATGATTATATTATAAATTCAGTTAGAGCTTTTTTTTAAGAACAGAGAATTTTTTTTATTAACATTGACTCGCAATTTTTAAAATTTTAAATTTTATCTTTTTTCTGTTTTGAAAACAAGGCATATGTAAATAAAAAATTATATGTTTTTTTTATTGTAATATAAACTCACTACATTATTCATTAGAATGCAAATAGCTATGATTGATTTTTTTTGTACTATTACGTAAACATTTCCTTTCTCTTTTTAAATCTCAAAAATGGGTGGGACTCGCTCCTTTGATCTCCTCTTATGTCAAAATCGATGACATTTTGGATTTATTCCTGTCTGTCTTCCAAGCGAGGAGTTGACACAGTGTCGCGCGGCCGTCGCTTTATATAACGAGTACCGATTAGCTCGTACCAGGCGGAGACGGTCTGTCATTACACAAGAGGGAGAGAGAGAGAGGAAGAAGGAGGAAAAGAGAGAGAGAGAAGAGAGACGATATCGGGGATATTCCGGAAAACGGAGACGCAAAGGCGGCAGACGGGCCAACGTCTGCATGCGAAGAAGGCTCGAGGGAGGTCGGACGAAGGTGAGGAGAGGCCGGGAACGAAAGAGATCGCGTTCGACTTTCGCTTTAGGCCGGAGTGTCTTCAACATGACGGGAGCGCGCGCTCCGCGTACCGCCGCGCGCCGGTCGCCGGCGCGACCGGCAGGATATAGCCGTGTCTGAATTGCATTTATGCTCGGGTAACTTGCTCGAAACGCTAATATACGCTGCGTTGAAACGGTAACGAGAGGATTAAATGCACAACACCGACGCGATGCGGTGCATCCATTATCGCGAAGAAACGTGAAGAAGAAGAAACCTGCAGAAATGCGCATAAGGCGATTCTCTGTATTGAATATAGTGTTTATCACGTTTTATTTATTAAAGTGTAATGTTAATTCGATAAATTAAAATCATTTAACATCTCGGCAATCATATATACATTATATTATAGTTGTATATCTCATAAATTAATTACACCAACATAAATTATTAATGCAATTTTCTACTTTTGATCGATCTTAAGCTGCTTCTCTCGCAGCATATCCGATCTTAAATCTCTCGGAATTATTTTTTTCTCTCGTCTTTTTGATTCCCGCAAAACTTCGATACGTCGTTATCGCGGGGTCTGAGCGATCCAAACATGCATCGCAATTGACACAACAATGTAGGCAGGATTAATTGAACGACGCGTATTAAATTATGGCAAACAAGTCATTGCCATAAATTGAGATGCGTCGAGATAAGGAGGCAATTTCTCGGGTTTAATGATCGTAAATTTGCGGGTTGCTTCTCCGCCGGTGGATTCGCCGCACGAAATCAGTATTTAGGACTATGGCGCGGGAAACTACTCTCACCGAGAAGCAATCCTTCTCCCTCATACCGTCGCGTCGATCTCGCGCCACCAATGGACTCTCGGGACAAGCGACTTAATACGATCACTTAACCGGTCCAGCGAGAATCGGTTTTCGTCTGCGACCTCATCATCATGATGAGCGTAAACATCGTACGTCGTAACTCTACATTTTAATGCGTTTGCGAACGACGATCCGGAGAAATGATTTTGACGCCTGGTATATAGTACTGGTAACGTGGTGTACCTCTCAGATTTTCTATACGTTATGATTGGTATATGATTTAGATGTGTAGAAACTTCCTGTCGGCAATAAAAACTCGAAAGTCCGATAGGCTGTCCAAGATCCAGATAGGAAATAAACAGCTAATCGTAATGATTCGTTCATAAAAGTAACATCCGTCACGTACGCGTAATTCACTGTGCGCTAGGTTATCCACGCTCACGGTAGTATTCCGTTGCATTCAATCTTTGCTCGCACACAAAGTCCGCACACAGGCAGTGCGTGCAAACTGTGAAAATAAGGCGTTTATTAATCAAATCGCGAAAACGGTTTTGATATTCATCGCAGCCCCACAGTGCAGATAATCAATTTCCTCTGCGGTGCGCGATCAAATAAACGTAGGAAGTTCAAGTACCGGTATAGATAGATGGAAATCGAGGTCGACTACTGGTACGTACCGAGACCGACTCGAGGCAGAAATACATCATTCGCCTAAAGCAACCGGCTCGTCCGCACACGGTAGCGAAGAAATTTATCGGCCCAAAGGCAGGAGAGATTTAAACCCTACACACTGTATTTTGGTGTACACGGACCACACACTGGGTTTCTCAGATGCAGCCGGATATTTTTAATCCCGGTAAAAATGCGTATTCTTCAAAAGGAAAAAAAAACTTTCCATAAGAAAATGCAAGGCACATAAAATTATGAAATTCAAATTTAAATCTAAATTTAAATCTTTGCTATTGTTAATTGCAAAATATAAACATTAAAATATAGAAGTGCCTAAAAAACGACGTGTGAAATTTTCGATTGGAAAATGATCTATTTCTCTCATAGACCCATACGTGTAATTCTAAATTACACCGGCCAGGATTGGAAAAAAATCACATTGTGATGTTGCCCTATTACTTGATGAAGCATCACGAATTCTCACGTACACACGAACCCGTTCGAGTAGGTGAAAGTTATGATAACACAAATTTCTTCCGTCTTTTTTGTGTTATTGATTTCATTCGCCGCTCAAACCGACCACATCCGGGATGTGTTAGACAGCGCGAATGTTATTATTTTTCTCATTAAACACAAGATTCGAGCAAAGTGAATTATCAACTTTCTTCTAATACACCGTCTGTTTACGACGTGTAAGAGTGTTATCGGAGCTATAAACGGATAGGAAGCTTCGGATTTTCTTATTTTCCGCGTACATCATGGAAATGTCAACGTCAATTATGATAACCGTGTAATTATTTATCCCCCGAACGAAGCATCGAACCACGGAAAGTGGCGCTCGTCGCCTTCGCATACTTCTGCTGTCTGATGTGAAAATATTCTCAAGCTGGCTCCAAGTCAACGACGCTTTTAGCTCTTTCCAGCCGACCCGCTCGGCATTTTCTCTTTTGATATTGAAATAGACCACTCAACTGCTTGTTGTACGCGCATCGTTACTCCGCGAGGCAATTAAATAATAATAATAATAATCTGCTAAATTATGCGACAACAATTTTATTTCGTGGGCTGTGAATCTTTTCTCATTCCCCGGTCGAAAATTATAACCGTTTTTGTTGCAAGTAATTAATGCGTGTGATAAAAATACAGTTATGTGAACACAAAGTCAATCCGCTTACAATTAGCATGAATCGAGAAAAAGCGTCTTGTAAAGGGTAATAAGGTTTTCTCGAATGCGTTTTGTGCTGCTGAAACACCTTGCTTTTTTTTTACGCGCTCCACTTAACTCGTGGACCATGAACATATTCAGATATGGCCGCGTCTGCAAATCAACACATTAACGAACAGAATTAATGGCACGTCTATCCGCGTAAGGCGCGCTCCGGTGTATCCGGTGGGATATATACCGTAGAGCGTTGTTCTACTTCTGAAAAATTGAACACGGGAAACGTACGCGCGCGCGTGTACACGCGTAACACGACGAAAAAAAAGCCGTAAGACCTTCCGTCCCGCGATTTACCGCGAACCATTGTTCTCGGCGGATTACAAGCAGTATCGCTATCGCTTTTTCAGGAAGAAGACTGTCTCACTTTCTGCTCTATTATGCACTTCCTATCCGGCACAATGGCGGTTACGATGAGCCCGGGTATAAAGAGCGATTCCCATGGCGTTTAATATCTCTCGTTGCTCGGAAGTTCCTTTAAATACGCGTAATGTCGTTTATGAAGTGCTGCACCGGTGGCTGCAGCTCAATCGAATTACGTGTAATTACTTTAACATTAAATTTGCAAGTCTCGTCAGGAACCAAACTTCACCAAGGCAAGCCTTTAATTCTCTTTACCATGAGATGTAAGCTCGTGGAAAAATTGAAAATTCTTTAATAATTGGTTTACATCTATGTATTAACAATTTTTTACATGCATCTAATACAGAACTGTTTATCGAAACCGTAATTTCCTGCTTGAGATAGACCAGTCGATTCTCGAGTGCGCGGAGCGCCAATTGAATCCGCCGCCGTCGCTGATTCGGTCGCCGATTTTTCGATTCGATCGATTCGCGCAATGTTCGCTCTGACACGTATAAAATAATCCGGTATTTCCAGTAATTCCAGTATCCTTTGACGCGGACCGTTTCGACGCCGCGACTGTTCATACGGTAATGTCTGTGCAGTTACGAGACGTCGATTTTTCGAAAGCGCCGAGGACTCCTCCAGGCGGGAGTCGTCTCGCTTTTTTTCGCGGCTCCTTTTTTTCTCTACGTTAAACTGTACGATAATGCAATATTACGACGCCGCAGTGCATTCGAGAAACAGGCAGATGGAAAGGAGGGAGGAACGACCTTGTCTATAATAGTGCGATAGTTATGGGCTGACCTAGTCTGAGCGTACCATTCACCGATGCAGTTACTTATATAGTTGTATAGCCTTAAGGCGCGCTTACGCCGATCACCGCCGCGAGGATCTCCGCCCCGGAATTATTGTTGCACGTCGATAGCATCACGAGATACGCAACATCCGTTAGCAGTATTGCGTCGAGGTCCTGCTCCTAACGCAACTCTTGGTTTCTTTTTCTTCCTCTTTTTTTTTGACAACTGATTCCTTGGCCTGCAGCTTCGACTCACGATCGGAGCGAAAACACGTCGAGGTACTTATAACTTTCGAGTAATTACGCCGATCGAGGCTAATTCTCAGCCTCGGCTCAAAATGGCGAATAGACGATTCCGCGGGGATATCAAGACGAGTGCCTCGCGCAACGCACGCGCGCGCGTCACGATAACTTCCAATTGTTACGCTTATCACGTGAACTAGAACTTTCGGCCGTAGCTAAATTTAAACGTAAACTTGACATAAAAACTTGAATATCTCGAGCGAATATTGCGACACTTTCAATAATTATCTACACGTGATATTAACCAAGCATTTATAATTATATCGATCCTTATCAATTGAATTTAATTTTAGAAATCGGCAATAATATAAATTTTATGCATACTAGTATTACACGTACGATACGTTTACTAATTAAAAGACTCAATATGGCTGCTCTATATCAATTTTGCTTTCACTTCACGTTTCACACTCACTCGCGCGTATCTAAGTACACTTGAATGCTAAATATGTAAAAGTCCTGGTACCTGTAACGAGCCCTCCTGAAACACACCTTTAGAAAACACATCGAGCAAGACGAAAAACGATATCAACACGACCGAAAAGTGCCAAACGTTCGCGCGTATTGTACGACAATGATCGTGAACAATAGATACTTCGCGGAGCGAAGTTGCATACCATTATCTTATCTCTTTTGTATCATTACGATACGGTCGCGTAGAAAAAAAGAGCCGCCGTGGGCGACCGAATGGGTTTTTCGGCCGATCATTAGGAACATTCAATCAATCAATAGAAATGAAGTGGAAATAATGTCATATTTATTTATAGAACCGACGATACGGTATCTCTTATTATCAATAATACATCCACACACGCGTGATCTCAATCTTCCTTCATATAAATTTATATGACAAAAAACGACGAGAAGAGAGATATGATCAATGTCAATGCTATTTACGAGTGAACGTTTCCTTTCGTTGCTTTATATCCGCTGTACGTAATATTTTCTAACGTTGGTTTCAGAAAATGGAAATTTTAGATTATGGCATACCGTATATATAGCGTCGGTTGATAGCAACGAACCTATAACGTTTTCAGTTGATTACGCCCACAGGTTTCCACCCACTGTGCGGCGCAATCCCGCGACGTTATCGCGCGAGCGCGCGAGCGAAGATTCCGGAAACAATACTTTCCCCCCAAAGCGAAACAACATGACTCCGTTTATTTTTATCTCTCTGTCACCGAACCGTTATCGGCCATATTCCGCCGACGGCAACGGAGCGGGTAATCAACAGCAGATCATCATGTACGAACATCGCATCATGTGCGTGCGTACCGTGACGATGTGCGTGACGTATGGCGACCACATGGGGTGGTGTATATCCTCCTCGTCGGGGCCATAAAGTCCAAACCGATCGATATGCCTCCGAAAGCGCACCCGTAAAACCGCCTTGCGTATATGCTGCCTTTTAACTCGCGCGCGTGAATGTAAGCGTTACAGAAGAAAAAAACGTTGCAAAAAAATACAAAAATAAAAAAAAAGGGAGAGGACATTCAACGGATAGCACGATGCGAGTATCAGCGGCAATAAATTTTCTCGCCGCTCGACGTGCGCGCGTTTCATTTCGCATTTTCGCTGGGGCGAAAATTCAACGTTGAATATTCTGTGCGTCACGTTTGTGACCGGTCACGGCCGGCGACACCCCCATCTGATTTATTCCCGGGAATTTCTAACGTTTCGGAAAATTTCAGGATTCGGATGATCGGCCGTGACCGCGTATTACGCCGCGGTGGACACCCACGCGTCGAGTTATTTGTCGAATCGTACAAATCCCAGGAGCGATCAACAACAAACGACAACAGGCGTTGCCGCCGTCAATTAGGTGAGTCATTTCGATCGAAATTAGCAAAACGTGACGGAATACAAGGCACGTGAGACTCGTGGCCGGGTCGCTATTAAGGAGGGCCCCGGCCGCCAGCCACCGCCGCCAATCGGAGGTAATGGTGAATGATTCAGAAGGGTGGAATCGTAGGGTGCGTAGGGGTCGGCGAAACAAACAGCAAAAATCAATAGTACGGTAACCGGAACAACACCGGTCGCCGAGACGCGGTCTCTCGTGCAGCTACTTAATTCGTACCTGTATTATTTCCGACAGGCGGAACACGGCGCGAAAGTTCCAATTGGTCGCGCTTTACTCTCGTCGCTCGAGTAGCTTCCTCTCGGACAATATTTTAGTAAAGCTTAATTCGAGAGCGGAATATCAAAGGAGTCGATTCTGTCGCGAGTATAAACGAAATGCACAGGCATGCGCGACGCGGCCCCTATATATATATATATATTCCGGAAAATCCGAAGGTACCTAGCTATTGACATTGGCCCTTTTTCGCCGCGCGACAATCCAATTATTTTATCATGCCGCGCTGGAAGGTTCCCGGAGTGCGCCGGAGAACTGGCACGGACTCAAGTTTCACTCAGCGCGCAGTTTCCGCAGAGAGGCACTTACGAAAGATTTGTCACTTAGATTTTCGTTAAAACGAGCGCGCCAGGCCTCCACTGAATTATGTGGTCGATTTTATTTCTTCGCGCTCGGAAGATCTTTCTTCCGGCAGCGAGAACCTCCGTTCGCGTTCATTCTATATTTAAACGAATTTTTTCTCCGATATTTATTTTCAGCCGGAGAACAAGATGGATGTATCATCTGCTTGCGACCGGCCGTGTTGATTGCCTTGAAGAGTTTGCGCAAATTAGAGGCGAATACGCGCGATTAAGCGAGCCAAGTGGCAGAAACGGCCGCGGATGCACGGGCAATTTGGTAATATGGCGACGGCGAACGGTCGCGTGACCATTTGTGGCTCACGCTCGACCCACGTCCAAGAGGCTCGCCTTGATCGGCCGTTCCCTCGGTGTGCCGATCTTACCCACGTGCCCGTAAATGGCGTAGGCGTAAGTAATGTCGTTAAACTATAATGTAATCCACCTTAGGATAACGCGCGCGTAACAAGCGGACTCGAAGGAGAAAAAAAAAGTGTATGTATTAACGAGGCGTCCTATCAAATGGGATATACGGTTTCGCGTGGAAACCGCGTATAGAAAGTATACGGGCTATCTCTCTTCGCTTCGGGACGCCCACTTGAGCAGACCGAGAGAGATCTCTCATGCAGAATTCCGCGCGCGGTCCATCGCGACAGTGATTTTAACGCGTTCACGTGTTGCAGCCGCAGCGTTTGTCATATAATCCGTGATAAATGTCCCGCCGCGCCGTGGTGCACTTGGCGAAAAGTGCGCGCATGCAATGAATCATCTATATCTGCACATTCTTCCGCAGATGGCCTTTTACGAGATGGGTGAGTGAGGGGTGGGAAAGCAATTAAGATTGATCCATCCCGAATGCTTCGGCAAATATCGAGCTGAACACACATAGGTACGAGGCAAATGTATGAAAAAACCGCTGGCGCGTTTCTCGCGAGCCGCGCGCTCCTCCGGAGGGAATGCGAGTAAGCGCCTTGGATTCGTCGCGACAGTCGCGGCGGGAAAGGCGCGATATATATAAAACGTCTGAAAAATGCAAGATTGTCATTTGCGAAATAAGGTCACCGTGTTACATGCACGCCGCATAATTGCAACACCCGGTGCACGTGGCCGGTATAGGTTCGCGCGCACGTCGGTTTATCCGTGGCTGCACGATCCTCCGCCGGTTTAGCACTTTACATTCCAACCGCAAGGTCGCACCACCATTCACAAACCGCTCAGGACATTGCATATATATATAGGTACTGTGCAAATCTGCATCTCTCCGCGGCCGCACTCCCGCGGTGCATACGTGCGTGAGTGCATGCGTGCATGCGTGCGTGCGCTGCGTGGGCGACGAGGGTGTGCGCTCGGTCGGTCTGAATGGCTATTTATTTTCGCAGATATGCGTATATCGTTAACGGGTGATTAACATCAACATGCAGCTCGCGGAAAATCGAGCGTGAATAAATCGCCCGATGAGCGACAGTAATGAATGGCGAGAACATCAGGGATTAAGGGATGTTCATAAATAACTAGAGAAAGAGAGAGAGAGAGAGAGAGAGAGAGAGAGAGAGCCAGAAGATTATTAAATGTTACGTTAAACTCTTGCGGGTATATATATATATCTACCTGTGGCGTTATACCGCTCGGAAGCGCTGGGGCAACTTTCGATCGCAAGACCAAAGTCTATCGTCGTGCCGTGGAAGGGATTATGACGCACAGTCGTTGCACTCGTTATGTCACACGCGTTATACGGGATAATACGACGTTGGGCACGCGCGTGTCGCGTGTGTAACCGCGTACGGATAATATACGCGTGTATACGAACATTCGCGCGCTCGCGAAACAATCTAGAGACGCGGGTCAGAACAGCCCGAGACACAAATTTCGACGTCCAGAGAAATGGAAGACGAGAGACGGAGTGGAAGAGAAGGAGGTGGCGAAGGGCGAAGGGGTGGAGACGGCGTCGCCGGCCGCCGTTTTTCCGCGGTGCGCGTGAATGGGGAAAGTACGACGTGAATCGTTAGAGATGTACTGACGGAGACGCGATATAAAAGGGACGCGAGAAGGCGTCGGGACGCCCGGCGTTCGCCGAGTCTGCGCCGTCACGACGACGTCCCTTTGTCCCCACGAATCTCTCACCTAGCCTCCCTCTCGCTCCTCTTTCACGGTTCCTTTCTCTCTTTCTCTCTCTCTCCTCTTCCTCGCACGCAACGCTCGCAGTCTTTCTCGCGTCGCGACGCCTCGCGTCCGCGTCGCGTCGTTCTGTTGCTCTCTTTCGTTATATACGACAGAGAGAGTCTACGCCTTCTCCTGCTCGAGATGAGAACGGGCGTAGAGGCCTCTTCTCCGCGCCCGTCGCGCCGCGAGAGGCGCGCCGTCATCCCGGAAAGGCTCCCGGGCGCATTAATTGCCGGCTAGACGATACTATCGGGGCGGATTGTAAGACCAATCACGGCGTTCATTGAACACAAAAGCGAGAATCGGAAAGGCACGTAGGCTTCAATGTGAATCCGGAACGTTCGCTACTATATATATACATTGTTGAAAAGTAACGACGGGCTTGAAAAGCGACCGAGGCATGAGAAAACGTATGTTGCAGAGATAAAAATGCAATCGTGCATCGTACGCATAAAAATTTGCATAATTCGCGCATTTTTTTTTTACAGAGCGACGCGAATTTAAGAATTTTGTCCGCTGCATTTCTATGAAAAAAAAAAAGAAAGAAAAAGATCGACAATCCTCAACACTCGCGTGACCAAAGACATTAAAGCACTCGCGTAATTACAACGTCGCTACGAAGAGGACACTCTACCCTTCTCACGACCTTTTTCTCCCTCTCGTCCGTTTCAACCCTGTACAATTCTCAAATTCAAAAGCAACCGCGTCATTTCTGGTGCAACTACAGTAATTTCTGTCCACGTTGAATAAAAGCGAATTGTTAGTTGCTGGCTACAGAGATGAATGCAGCACCGAGAAACAGCAAAGCTGATGTAGACGGAAAATATAGAGATAATACGAAGTAAAATATTTGAAACCTTAACAAAATTTTTAATTATATCAAAGATAGTTCAAACAAAAGGTTAAAATTAAATTTTAAAATAACATTTAAAAAAATGAAAAATGTGTATTTATGTGTGTATATTACTGTATATATAAGTAAATTTTTAATAAATTAATTTTATTAATAATTAATAAATTAATAAATTTTATTAATAAAATGCATATTAAATTATACAATATTTCCATTGGCTTACTTGATGAATATAACAAGACTTGTGCAATACTTTTATGTAACAGACCGCACGCAAAGTGCACGTTAAGTGTTCGATATTAACAAATCTCTCTTTCTCTTCGTGCAGACTCGCGATGCTGTTAATGGAACGAGACAGATCACGTCGGGAAATATCGATTTTGCATCATGTCAATGAAACTGCAAGAATGTTTTCGCACGTTCTATTCAATAACTCTGTCCAACGCACGATATCTAGCTGCAGATAGAAATCTTTCGACGCCTCAGTTCCGCGCGCATTGTATAAACGGTACGCGCGTGCGAGTCTCTTTCTCTCTTCCCCTGCGGAATAACATCGGCGTGTTATAACAATAAACCAGCCGCCGCCGACGACGCGTAATACGACGGCAATAGCCGGCGGAGAATCTGGTGATTTATCACACTTGTCTCTTAGTTTCGTGTGTATCGCGCTATACCATTCCGTGTCAATAGTTCCCGAGTTTGACGCCTCATAAATTACAGGGTGCTCGCCGTGGCGATAGGCGTGGTTTCGTGTACGTGACGATACTTCTTGTCGCAAATCGTGACAATCCCTCTGTTTGTAAAAAGAGCTATCGCGACGCGAGCGTTTCCTCGAAGTATAATATAAAAGAAACAAGCTTTTCAGCGAATCCGCGTGCGCTCTTCAGAGATACGGATAAGTAGCGCAATCTTACTTCTAATTATTTAGATGGACTTTGTGATAGAGGCGAAAGGGAAGTAGTAACGAGATATCCGTGATGACAAGACATGCTGAATATAAAATTTTCATGAAGGAGAAAATGTAACGCTGTGTCACCTGAACGCGCGCTGTCTGTCGAACGCTTCGTTGACAGCTGACATACTTACCGTGCGATTTCGTGCATTCGACGTTGATTGCATTAGATGCGATCGAAGAGAGAGATACGCGGCCGTGTCCTTATAAGTGCTTATCAACCGGTCGTCTCGAAGTCGCCGTCTATATACCGTACTCGGTTAGAACGCCCCAGATTCTAACGTATACACATTCTGCCAGCTATACTCTAACCGAGCCAAAATACTTTCAATCAGTAATCGATACCGGGCAGCTCCGGTGCAATATTTCGGCCAAGCGGCAAACGGCCGCTTTGATACTGCGATCCATTTAGTCCACGCGCGCGCGCGCGCATCTATAACACACACCGGGGCTGTTAACCGGTCCATGTAACCGACTCTATGTACCACGAGAGAAACTACCCTGGATACACCCATCCATGTACCACGAAATAAGAGTAATGCGGTTAAGCTCACTGTGCTTGACCGTGATTCTCTTGCCGCGAGGAAAAATTTAATTAATGTCGAGCGTCTCGTGACGAGACCCAAGACTCGCCGCGGTGAGACTGGTGATGCACATTTTTCGAGCGCGAACCCGCCGATAGCTATATGAACGCGGAGAAGAAGTGAATATATGTCCGGAAAATAGAGAGAGATGTTTATTTATGAAAAATGTGTGTATAGTTGATGCTCTCATCTTGCATATCAAATATTAAACTCAAGAGCCACATAAATACAAGAGCAATGTGCTGCATAATGCAACAACTATATAAATGTAATATATGTACGTATCTTCCTGAAGCGGATCTCGGGATCCGACGTTATTAGAAGTCTGTGCATTATGCAGACGCCTGGCATGCATGTGCGTGTGTGTGAAATTTAGTTCAGAAAGGGCGGACCGAAGAGCAACGAATTGTGCCCCATTTCCATATTTAAATCACCGTCCATCTCAGACAGTCGGCGAGACGCACATCGAATGTCTGTATATAGTCACGGTGGTAGCCGGGAAATCGGTATTAAGCGGTCCATTCTACCGGTTGTCAGTCTCTGTTTCCCCATTGCGGCGATATTGCACGACGATAACTATATTGCGCTGCGCTGCGCGTTACACGCGGATTACGCGGAGAACGCGTGGACGGTGACGTGGAAATTCCCTACGTGTCCGAGTAACATTGTCGGTTCCGCGTCTCGCGCACAATTCGCATTTTTAGTCCTTCATGCATCGATTCTCGCACAGCCCGCTTCCGTTTATCGGCCATTCGGTGGAGAGATACCTTTACACCCCGACTGATGTGGGTTTCGATCGGCACGCGTATACGTTTTATCTCCGCCGAACGCGATGCGCGTGTCTGTACAACACGCTGAAGAGCTACCATACGCTCGCGGAGCGAGCGCGGGTACAAAGGGCCCTAGGAGAGTTTTAAAAGT